AGGCAAGAGATCTGCTACAACATGATTCTTCTTATGTCTCTGTGGAGATTCTCTAGCTGGGAAAAAAACAACAACCCAATTGTCAGTCAAAACACTTAAGTGAAGCACAAAGAAAAGGATGTTCTTCTTCTCCCACTGCTTAAACTGTGGTACTCCCTGCCACTAGATGTAATAATGGTGGCTAATGTGGATGGTAAGTGCAGTGCAGACCTTTCAGCAGAGAATTTTGTCACCAATTAGCATAATGTTGGCTGCATGCCTGGCCATGTGCCTGATCGTGCAATGGGCATGCAATCCGACTGATGGCTCAACGCTGTAGCAATGGCCCCCACGACACTAATTGCTCAAGGAAGTCCCATGCCAAGCAACCACCTGCCACCTCTTCTAGTGGGTCGGCCAGGGCCAGCTGATGCAACAAACACCTGATGCCGGGAAGATCGGCCCCAACCATTCCCTGGGCGACTGTCCCAGAACAGGGACCATCACCCCGAGAGGGGACGAGACCTATGGCTGACAAAGATTTGGGATGGCAGGTGAACCAGAGGCTGGAAAAGTTACTTTGGGATGGGGGGGGGGAAGAGAACCACAGACCCCCTGAATCTCCAGCTTCTCCAGGCCCTGCTTCTTACCCACCCAGAGAGTTCCTGGAGCACCTTTTGGGATGGACTGCTACTTGGGAGTAAGTGCCACGGAGCTCTGACGTTAATTGTGGGAAGCCGCCTGGGGTCCTTTTAGGGAGAAAGGCGGGGTAAAAGGTACAGTATTTTGAATGAATAAATGAATGAATGGACGAACATCTGAGTGCGCGCGCCTAAGAGTCCACTGCGCTTTCCCCGTAATCCACCGAGTAGCGGCGCCCTCTTTACATCGCTTGCTTCCCATGCTGGGGTAAGCGCCTGGGGATCGTGCAAAAGGAGGAGCCCCGATCCTTCGCGGGGGTGGGGAGGGGGGGCAACTCCCGGTTTTTGTTGACTTAATGACTAAACAACAACAAATCAAGCACCCTGTTCTGTTAGCAGGAGATGCACATGAGTTTGAGGCGATCATGGAGGAGTTCACGGCAAGCAAGAACGGGCAGCCTTGCCTATAGTGGGAAGAGAAGTGTGAGACTGGGGTCTCTTTTGAGGCCCCCCCCTTTTTAACTCAATCCAGCTCCATTTCATGGGTTGCTTGTTTGCAATGAAATGCAGCAGCACAGGAATGTTAACAATGTAAGAGCGAGTGAAGATACTGTACATCCCCCCCCAAAAGGTCAATTTTTTAAATGGTGGGGAGTTAAAACGTTTGTCCTGCCATGCCAGTTCAAAGTGGTATCGTCCAGGAGCAGCTTTGCCCGTTGATCTGGCTGAAAAATAATAATCATATTGAAAAGCTGGCAGAAGGGAAAGAGGACTCTGGAATCGCCCAAGTGCTCTGCATTGCTTGTGAATTAAAGAAGAGCGGGGGGAAAGTCTCGGTGAAAAAGAAAACCGCCTGAGACCATGGACGCCCTCCAAAGCAAACGCTGCAAATTAAACATTATTGCTCACTTAGAAACTTCGCACAAGCTCGTCCTCCTTCCTCTGGTGAGGGTTTGTGTTAAAGTTTGCCTCTATATGTCATTCTGCAGTGGATTTATTTCAGC